TAAAATGTAATATTTATTAGTAATTTGTCTTATCTTTATTATATATTAGATAAATTTGTTTATTATTTATTTACTTGAATGTATGCTAGGCCAGATTAATTATTTATTACAAATTACCAAAATCATTAAATTAGATGGGTTAATTCTCCAATCAAGCTAACAAGCTTTGGTATCAATTCTACTTTCTCTTGCTGTTGAAAAGTTTCAATCCAAAGTCACTGGTCTGAGGTAGATAAGCCTCTAGCCTATGCAGCTCAGATCACAGGTAGCATGGATCCTATATACTCACCCCATTACTTGTTAGGCTAGCTAGTATAAGCTTGATGGTCAAAGGGGGGGAAGCTAGTACAAGCTTTTATAATTAACTATAGCTTCTTTAATAAATCAAGTATGTAACATTAAAGAAAAATTAACTAAAAGATAAATAAAAACACAAAAATAATATGGTTTTTGGGTTATTGAATTAAAAAAGAAAAACTAGTTTCAATTTGTTCCACTAGGTCTGAATAGTTTTGATCAATTCTCCATTGATTTACTTTTTCACTAGTTTTTAGAAGTTCTAGATTGAATATATTAGGGCTGCACAAATATCAGACTAGATCAGGTTGGATGCCAACCCGAAGTCTAGTCTAAATAGAGACCGAGCTAGAATTTTCAATCCAAGGACTGGTCCAATCTTGTTGGACCCAAGACTTAGACCGGGTTGGACTTGGTCCACCAGGTTACTAGACCAGTCTAGTTCTTGAATCCAACTCTCTCCCAAAAAAAGGCTCTTATATTCCCTTTCCTATTTATTTGCATCAACATCATAGGCTTATTATCGATTAAGTATCCTACTTAATTAGACCCGATGTAAATAACAAGATTTCATGTTTAAATAAATCAAACATATGCACGTCCTCATGCAGGGACCAGGCCTTCCTTTTTTTGAAAAAATATATATTGGCAACAACAGTGCATCTCTCATCATTTATAGCAACCTCATCGAAAAGCAAGCAAAACTAGAATAGAGAAGTAACATAACAGAACCATGCAAAAATGGAACAGAAATCGTCAGAGAAGTCGTTGAAGAAGAAAAACTAGAAAGAAAGCAAGCAAAACCAGAACGTACGATGAATTGAAAGGCTGAGTGAAGAAAAAACCAAAACAAAGCAAGCAAAACCAGAAGAAAAACCACAAAATACGAATACCTTTCAGTTGCCAACACCATCTCTAGAGAAGAAGGAAGAAAATGCATGATGAATCAGAAGGCTGAGTGAAGTGTTCAAGCAATGGCGATATTCTTCTCTCGGCATGCTTGAGGAGAAACGGTGCGACAATCGATCAAGGAGAGGCAGAGAGATGAGTGAAAGTTCAAAGTAGCTACAACTAGGGCAAGTAAAATGGAGAAATGACAAATGAGACTATCAGATCAGAGTTTAGAGATTGAGTTTGAGAGGTGTGCGCGTGAGGATATTGAGCTCAGCTAAGTAAGAGTATTTTTTTGTAAATAATATAATTATTTAATATTTAATATTAAAAATATAACCTGGACCGGGCCAGACTAATTGGTCCAAAAGATCAGTCTCTAGTTTGGTCTAACCCGTATGTGTAGTCTGACTCGTTTAGTCCAGTCTTTTATTCGGGTTGATTTTTATAGGAGCGGGTCATGCCGAGTTGAATCAGACAGACTGGTCTAGGTTTTTTTGCACAGCCCTAGAATATATGGCCCCTTCCTACCCATTTTGGTCTAGTTATGACAGGACTTGGCTTTTTCCTTTTTTACCCCCTCTTTCGCTCCATTTTTCATCTCAATTCTTGGATCAATTTTTAAAAGCGTTAAAGCGTCAATTATTCACTCAGAAATGTTTGGTAGCATAAACTTACATGTGGAATAATTTTTCTTTCAATGTTTAAAAATGATACTAAGCACCCTCCCATTATAAGTCCTAGATAAGAAATCTATTTATAAGAATGGTGCTAAAAAAAATACATATAAGTCCTAGATAAGAAATTTATTTATAAAAAAGTCCTATAAATTTGTGAAAATACTCCCGGCCAAATATGGGAACTTGTCGAAATTAATTTCTCCTGTAAAAAGACCCAAATGCCCTTGTAGTCAATCCTTTTGACCAATGCTGACCGATTGCTGGCGAACATTGATCAATCGACAGCCAATGTTGATCGGGGGTGGCAAGTTTTGATTAATCACTAGTCAATATTGACCAATCAAAAATATTTTATTGAAATATTTATATTTTAATATTTACTTGTAAAACATCACAAGTTTTGCAAGTAAATTTTAAAGATTTACAACTCAAACTTATTAAATTTACAAATTAACTTCTCACAAAGTTGATCTCTGTAGATATTTTGATGTTTAAGTTCCATAATAGAATATTTTAAGAATGATTTGAAACTTTTTAATGCTATGTAAGTATCCTAATTTTTTATCTTTTTCCTTTGGTTTTTTAATTCTTGAAAGGAGGAAAAATCCAGGATTTAATAGATTTCAAATTTATGGGCATTTCAATTAACTATTCAGTTTTTAATGGAGTTGATGATAATAGAATAAGAATTTCTATGATTTAAATTTTCCCAAATAATTAATTTGGGAAATTAAAGTTAGGGTTAGTTGGAAAATTTGTGATTTATGAATATGATAATGGTAATTTATTTCAAATTCAATGGCTTGATTATATTTATTGGAGGTTATATTAAGGGTTAATCGATTTAGTTTGTGATTGAGGTTGAAATTCACGATAGAATATGAAGAGCGTATAGAGAGAAAGCGATACAAGCAGGCATCAGGCATTGCCATATACATACATATATATATGCATGCATATATATATATACACACACACACATATAGTCAAAGTTGACAAAAAGGGGAATGACTCGAAGTGTTGTGTTTTCGAGTTTTCATTGGCCATTTCAGTACGTTACTGTACGGATGAAATGGATTTTTGGCCTGAATTGGCAAATCCTCAACCTGATATTTATTTTCTCAATGCTGCTTTCTTTATTTCAGTTTTTACCACAACAAGCAAGAGGACAATGGGTTTGGATTTTCCATTGCGATAACTCGCTCGTGCTGCAAACAAACACCACAAGCTTTCTGGATTTTGAAAGAAAGGAAAGGTACGTTCCATTTTCGTCTCTATAATGCCTCTTATCTTCTCTCTCCTTTTTGGACTCTAGATCCATTATTAGAGTGTTCACTGTTCAGCCTCAGCCTTAGGTCGTTTTGCTTTTTCCTTTTGAATTCTTTCTATCTCAAACTTGAGATCATTTTCACGTGCTCAGTCCTCAAATTATCCTTTTTTACCTTCCTCTCTAAGGTCTCCAAGATTTCTAGGTTTCTGGGTTTTTTTCCCGGTTAGGGATAAATCTTCCTTCAACCCTCTCTGTTTCTTGTTTTACTCTTTGAAACTGAAGTTCCTTCTAGCTGATGCTTTTTCTGAAACCGTCTTAACCAATATACTTGCAATACATCTAGCTCTTTCCTTATGTATATTTGCAGACGATTGATGTGAAGGCGTAGGATTAAAGATGGTGAGACGGAAGATAGCGATGAAGCTTATAGAGAACAAAGCAAGCAGGCAAGTGACATTCTCAAGAAGGCGAAATGGACTGTTAAAGAAGGCTTTTGAGCTCTCAGTTCTGTGTGATGCTGAGGTTGGTCTCATCATCTTCTCTCCCACAGGCTTGCTCTATGAATTTTCAAGCTCCAGGTATGTGTGTGTTCTATGTAGCACGGATACTTCAAAAAAGTAAACGTACCCGTATCCGATACGATACTTGTAGGATACTTCTGCATAAGTATCCCATATACTAACATTTGTGATATAATTTTTTTTCAATAATTTCTTACTATATCACTTAAAAACTTGAAAAAACACTTAATATTTTAGTTAATTACTATAAATATCCTCATGTTACTTTATAAATTCTTGATTAAAAATCAAAATACTTATACTTATATCATAAAACGTTAAAATATACATTATAAATATTCCCGTACCCGTATCCTAAAATTTTGAAAATTTACCATATTCCCGTATCATGCCGTATCGTATTGGATGCTCGTACCCGTATTTATACAACCTAGTGTGTGTTCATGCTCTTCATCACTATCTGCTTTATATTAATGGTTCGTGTGAATGCTTATCATCATCCTGTAAATTTATGGTAAATGTCACTCTCTGTATCATTCTGAGTGGATGATTTTGGTTCCCCCCCTAGCTATCTGTATCATCATGTTTATAGGAAATTTCACTGTATGTATCGCCCTACTAGATAGAATATAATTAGATTCATTGTCATGGTAAAGGGGGGGGGGAGGGGGGAACTAGGTTCGCTATGAGCAATGAAACTGGGATGTTTCCTGAAACTATGGTAGTTTAATTTCTATACATTAGGCGTGTGGATAATTCCATAAGCAATAAAAATTAGGTTAAACAATAAAAATTCTGTCGCTAATCAACAAAAATTCCATCACTAAATAGTTAAACAGGTCATCGACAGAATACTTTCATCCATAAAAACACTATCATTGATTCATTAACAAAGAAAAAACCCATCACTAATTAGAGATAGAATTGCATTTCATCATTGATAGAAACTTTTCTATTATTAAATAAGGATAAATTATTTAAATTTTGCGACAGAATACATTCCATTGCAAATTTTTAGGTTAATCAAAACATCACTGTCACATAACCAAGTAGACTAGTGCCACCTCACCACTACAGTACCACCTCACAATTGCATCATCACCCAATGAATTAGTGACATCTCATTGTTGCCTTGTCACTTATCACTGCCATGTCAAATATTATTAACTTCAATTACATCTTAGCCAAGTTCAAACTCACAATCTCACAGCCCTTAATGACTTTGTATACACCTTATTGCCATTAAGCTAAAAGGAATCTTCAATCTTAATATATAATATTTAACCCCATACATATATATCAATAAATATATTATTTAAATTTACTTATTTATTTACCATTACATTTATTTATATGGTAAAATTAATTTTTATATAATAATTATTTCTATTATATTTAATTTTAAAAAATTATTTTTGATGATAAATTTAATAATAAATTGAAAAAAATTATTATCGTTATATATTATATATTTTTAAATTTTTAAATTATTTATTTAATAATATTTTATTTTAAAATAAGAATAATTAAATATAAAATTTAAAATAATAATAATTTAATTTAAAAGAATAATTTAAATTAATAAATTATTTTAAATTATAATTTTTAAATTATTTATTTATAAAGTAATATTAAATAAATTATATATAAATAAATATACATATATAGTAAAATAAAGAAAAAATTGTGACAAAATTAATGATAAAATTATGTCAGAAAGCTCTGTGACAAAATTTACTGTCACAAATTCTGTTAAAAAATTGAAATAAGATATTTTAAAAATTAACGACAAATTTTTTTTTAATAAATGTTATCATTAAATCATTTTTGACAGATTAAAATAAAATAATAATAAAATTTTAGCAATGGAGTGTTTCATCACTAAAGTTTAGTGATACAGATTAGCAACAAAAATTTATCTCGTAACTAATTTTTTTTTTTTTGTAGGGCAAGTCATAACTTATAAATGATTCCGTTTGTTATAATTTTCTGTTTAATATTAAAAATTGATATATATATATATATATATAGGTATTATTGTTGTACATTGATAATGATATTAACGTGCGATGCGATCTGAGTAAAATACACATAATGTTGCTCTCTTTTACAAGCGATGGTGTTGTTTTCGAAATATTTTATCATTTGTGAATAAAGATGTGAACTTTATTTTATTACTTATGGAATTTTTTATTAATAGTTACTATTTTTTTCCCCGTTCCTTTGAATATTTTATTATTTGTAAATAAAAATAGTGTCTTGTCTACTATATAGTGCAATTTCGCATATAAGTATTATTTGTCAATTAATTAATACTACGTATTACTATACTCAGATGGCTACATCATTAATTTAGTATCACTAAAACTTGTCTAATAATGTGTACGGAAATCAGTGACAAATCCTACACGCATGAACTACCAAATTCAAATTTCATATAAGACTAAATACTTGAGGCACAAAAATCATAGAAGTTTCATATAAATTAGACTAAAATAAATAGCATTCTTTCTATTTTATAAATAGGACCAAAAAAGTATACATTTTCTTCAAGGGATAATACTACCAAAATTAAAGTACACACACACAACACCCACATACACGCAACCTCTTATATATTTTCTCCAAGAGGTTAGGCTTGTGATAGGAATTGTTACGACTAAAGGGCTACAGGTTTAGAGGCCTTTACCAAATGGGCTTAATGTGTGATCCACCCTTTCATAATACATGCATGTATGTTCAACCAATGCCAAGTCTGTCTAAGGCTAAGTATTTTATATAAGGTCAAATGCTTAAATAATGTATATTCATCCCATTGTAAATACATAATTTTGAGGGAAGCACATAGTAAACAAACTATGAAAATAATGGTTAGAGAAATGATCAACGAGATGCATGTCAAATATATGATTGTATATATTCAATGATGACTATTTTTGTCACTCCCGATAGAATTAGTGATAGAAGTTCTTGCAGCGACGACATTGTTCAAGTTTGTTATATAATACATTGAGCTTTTAAGTTAAATATTTGTCTCATCTGTGGTAAGATTGTTGTTGTAGTGGATAACACACACACACACACTATACACCCTCACACTAATACTATAATGCATGGGTCTCACCCTATCATGGACCCAAACCAAGCACCTGGGTCCAATAACCCAATTACAAGCACGGACACACTACTATAAAATAGACTTTTCACGTTGCATTTTTAGCCCTTTTCACGTCACAACTGTAGGGGACATCATATTGGGCAACTTAAAATAATGGCTCATACACATCACAAATAATGGAGACGTGAAAAAGAATAAACCACGTCCCTTTTAATATTAAGAGAGATAGTTTCTACATGATTCACGTCCTCATTTTACTAGAAAGAGACGTGATTTTCATATAAACCATGTCCCCCCAAACAAGGGGGACGTGGTTACTCATGTTGTCAGAGAAACCACATCCCCCCCAAGTAAGAGGGACGTGGTTTCTAGGAGAAACCACATCCCTCATTCATGAGGGGGAAGTGGTTTCTTTAAGAAACCACGTCCCCCTCTATAATAGGAGACGTGGTTTGTTCTGAACACACTTGTTGTTACGTCCCTCCTTTTAATAATGTGACGTGGCTTTTGTAATTTTTTTTATATACAATTTGTATTTGCTTGACAACCAAAATAGAATCTGTGAAAGTATGCCACAGAAATAGCCAAATTCATACAACAAAAGTTCAACAAATAGCAACTCATTTACAACCATTCATAAACTATCACAACAAAATATACCAAGTGCATTGGAACGACAAAACTATTGTCACCCATTCAAGTGTCAATATTTACAGCCAAATTCCAACAAACTACTTGAACACATTAGGGTTTATATCATTCTATCTAACTATATGGATAAACTATAAAATCACACTATGTAAATAGCTCTTGAAGAAGATAACCTGCTAAATTGTTTCGAATGTCAGTTATGTCTTCACTGGTATAAGGGTACTCACTGTCAAAAAGCTGCAAATTCTTATCGAATGTTCATTAGATATCCAATTTCTAAATCCTTGTGAAACTAATATTATTAAAATAAATAATAATATAACTTACCATGTGTAAATTTTCGTTAGTTTCGTATTGAATAATCTCATACATATAACGAATAATATAATATCCACACTCTGTACTCCCTATCTGGCAATGGCACTGAAAGTTAAGAATCAGATAATAAGTATAAACAAAAATATACATAAAAAAGTTGTGAATAAAAAGTATTGAATTGAAATTACTTACGTTTGAAAAAATCCAAGTCGGTGAGGGATTTTTTGAGATGTATTTTTTGCTGGGCATCACTTTCCCTCGGTCATATAATATATCTTCAATGCTCTATCATGATATTTAAATAAAGTATAAAGTATTAAAACAAAACAAATATCTAACATTTATAAAAATAATCTTAACTTACGTATTGAATATATTTTTAGTTTCAGCACTTGGTTGCTTGCCTATGGAACAAAACCAATAGATCTCATGCAAATACAGGCATATAACACAAAGGGACCAATTGTAACTACAAAGAGACAAAAAAAATTAATACATGAAAGCATAAAAAAGATTATCAAAATAAATATATATATAAATGAATATAGAAGAACTTACCCTTCAAGAATTGGAGCCAGATAACAGGGCAATTTTGTTTCTAAAATAGTATTGCCCACGTATCGCATCCTATCACTGATATCATTATGGGCCGATGTCAAAGAAGCTGGACACAAAAATCCAAATTGATCTTTCCGTGGTCCAGTACAAAGACTACTAAGAAACCTATTAATAGAATGACACAAAAATTATTGCATAGAAATTAAAATAAATATAAATGAGATAGAATAGAGGTAATAAAATTACAAGATAGATAGCATAGCCCATGAGATATCTAACTCCCTCAACAACAAGAATTCCAAGATGTCTTTCTTGTCCATTGCAAAAGGATATGACTTGTCTATACCCACAATTCCTTTAGGCATTGTCAAATTGATAGGCTTTGTCATTGCCTTAAAAAATTCATGTAATT